TATGTAAGGTATAAAATTCTAACATGGCAGCTGCCGTAAAGTTATATTCACAGTAAAATACATTAATATGATTTTGTTCATATGTGATTTTTAGAGTTTTCATTTTCTTGGTTTGTATTTTGATACATAATCATATGTACCACTTCAAAGTAATATGTCTTTAATATTGCTATTCTTAACTTTTTCTTGGGGCACGCTGTAGCGTAGTTGATTGAGGCACTATGCTACAAGCCGGAAGGTCACGAGTTCAAGTCCCGATGAGCTCATTGGATTTTTTTCAGTTGACCTAATCCTTCCAGCCGCACTATGGCCCTGGGGTCGACTCAGCCTCTAACAGAAATGAGTACCTGGAATTAATTAAATCATTTTCCTAGGGAGTAAAGCGCGTAAGGCTGATAACCTTACCGCCATCTTCAAGCCGATTGTCTAGCTAAGGTGGGACCCTCAAATATATCAGATAGACTATTTGGTTCATTACAGAATTATTCTCTGATGTCCCTGTTTTATACATAGTATATATATATATATATACATGAAATCTATCTGTAAATTCTGTTTACCATCGCTTTATTGCCCCATCATCTTTTACATTGTTTCTGTTTCACTGAAATTATTTATTATCAAGGATATCTTGTGCCTATTTAGAATCATATGATTCTAAATATGATGATATCTAAATATGATAAAATGATAAAATATGATTTTCATACCTGGTTTTTAGGGATCTCCCAGTTTGGCAGTCTGGACTTGCTAATCTGTGAATACCTGCATGTTCAGAAGATGTAACGTTCTTGGTTTCTCGTAAGTTTCAACTTGCATTATTAGTTTTGTATGCAGTTCTCCATTTTGTGTCATTAAATAATTTTGTAATTGTTTTAACATATATCCCATCATATATAAACATAACCCATGGTTCTCTCTCTGTAACATTGTGGTCTTCATATTCATGAGTTTGATTGTTCTTTGTTATCCTGTTTAGATTTTTAAAGTGTTCTTTTCTGAAATCGTTATTTTGTGTAATCTGTATTCTATTACAAAATTGTTTCTCCTTAATACTGTTTTCCAAAAGTAATTGAAGTTCTATCTATCATGGTTTTATTTTCACTGAAAATAAATATTCCTGTTATAGTAAATCAAATCTCTTCATGGCATAGTGCTTAATTAATTAAACACGGGGATGATTTCACCCTTTTAGTATAGTAAATCATATTATTTTCAATAATACATTTAATGTATCTTCTTTCCAGAATTTTAAGCAAAATTTCAGTTACTATTCCAGATATTGATCACATTGCTGCTCATTTCAGTCACACATGTACCTCTGTGTTGTTGTCTATCTGTATGTATGTATGCATGAAACAACTATAACTGCTGTTTGGATTTTCTTTAAATTTACATACTGAAGCAAAAACTGTTCTGAACAAAATTTGTACAGGCAATTAAATACAGAATAGAATAGGACAGACTTGGTCTAAGACATGAAAGGAAGGACACAGGCTGAGGGTATCTGAGAGCAAGGTGCTAATGAGAATATTTGGGTCAAAGAGTGATGAAATAATAGGAGGCTGGAGAAAATGCATAATGAGGAGCTTCATAATTTGTATCCTTTGCCAAATATAATTAGAATGATCAAGTCAAGGTGGATGAGATGGCTGGGCATGTAGCATGCATGGGTGTGAAGAGGAATGTAAACAGGGTTTTGATGGCAAAGCCAGAAGGAAACAGACCACTAAGATGGCCTAGTATGCCTATTGTGTTACACATGATGAAAGTAACGGGTTCCAGTTCAGATGATTGGATTTATTGGCACTTTGGCTAAAAGTTCTCCACATTTAAATGCAGTACTATTGTTGATTTCCACAATTTATAGTTTACTTTTGCACACACACTAGAATCCTCTGTTTCCATTATTCATCTCCTAGCAATGGATCTCAACACAGAGACTATCACTTCAAACCACTATTAGGTCTTCTACAAACTTCCTGTGGCAAGTCCCATACCGAGAACTCAGAACTGACTGACTGCTTCACTTCTCTTATAAGCACTCTGCACACTGCATTTTGTACTAGTCTCTCAGTCTCGTCTAAGCTATAACAGTTAATCGTTTTATAAGCTTCACACGGACCACATAGAAAACATCTTTCATTCTTGACTCCTATTGTTGCATAAGGAAGACCACACAAAAAACAAGTCACGTGATTCCTAGCAAGCATCTTCATGGGTGCGCCATTGCCCAGCAACACACAATGACATTCCTCTACTGAGACAACTGCCTTGTGTGTATTTGGTCGCAGGGTGTTTCCCAGTCTATTACCTAGCAACGCTCTGATCATACACGTTACAGTATTAAAGTTGATCTTAGAAAAACAGAATGGGGTGGTATGGACTGGATTCATCTTGCCCAGGATAGGGACTAATGTCAGGCTATTGTGAACACGGTAATGAACCTTCAGGTTCCATAATGTGTTGGCAAATTCTTGAGTAGCCAAGTGACTTGGGGTTGGTTGTCAGATTTTAGTTATGCTGTTTGTATTAAAACATGTCTATTTTTAGAAGGCCCTACTAATATATCCTAGTAAAAAGTATCTGAAAGAAAATACATTGCAAAATTCTACATTATTATTTTTCACTCGTATAAAAGTTGTTTCTGATAAGTTGATAGATTCATGAAATAAAACAAAATACATATACATATGTATATAAACTGAAATTGAAATGTGCAACACTTAACATTTCTAAGTGTTGTCCTCTCCTGCTGTGACAGATATGGAAACCTTGGCCTGTACAGAGGCTGAGCAGTGAAATTTGGTAGACATTCATTTCTGCTTGGTTGAGCAATGTGACACTGTATGTGTTGTCCTAAAGCTGACCAGTGACCAGTGACCAGTGGTCAGTGTGCCATTCATCTTGGGATGAACTGAGGACAAATTTCCTTTGCACTCATTTCCAATAAATTTTGAACAAAAACGTCTGACAAAATCTCCAAATGTCTACTTTGTTGGAACACACAAATGATTCAAATAATTACATCCAACAGGTGTGGAATTCATTTTTTTGTCCACTTCTAACTCTCCAGTGAAATGAATAGCAATCAGCCATTCTGTCCCTTTTCTAGGCACAGCCCATGTAGAGACTGTAGTTTTTCTTGAACTTTCCCATGTTCATCATACAAATTGATTTCAGCTGCTGTTTTATGCAATCCATTGACATATACAGATTTCCAAATCATTGCTGTCAAGTTACATCTCATCCTAAGCGGCCTCCGTAGTCTAGGGGTAACAGTCCCACCTTATGACTCAAGGTACGCGGATTCAAACCCGGTGGAGGTCGTGGAATTTTTAAGGGCGGAAAAATTCAGGGAACAAGTCCTCCGGGAGGGACTTTAAGCTGTGGGTCCCGTGTCATAGATTTACGGCACGTAAAAGATCCTCATGTCTCTAGGAGACCTCTGAGCAAAATTAGGTAAAAAGTTTCCTGCCCAAGTAGTTTCCAATGCCTCCGGTAGATGGGGAAAGTATCAGGTACCACTGCCAGTAGAGGGGCCGAACTCGCTGGCTGAACGGGGCTGAGAGCGAGCACCAGAGGGTATGGCGACTGGTAGAATATCAAAGGGGAATGTACAATAGATCAACAACTGGTCGCGGTGCATGGGGAAACCCACCCCCTCAATAATGAATGAATAAGGAATGCATCTCATCCTGGCATTATGTTATCTCATTCTGATTTTAGTCTCTTCACCATCAGAGCCTTTGAGCATCCCTCTACAGTTTTGCTTGACACTTCTACAAGAGTTGACAGATGTTGTGTGTGGGAAATGAGTTGAATTATGAGAGAAGAAACTATCCATGTAAAGTTTCCAGCCTAGCTCTCAGGACCCCTTCACTGGTGCAGGCTTAGCTGCCATTGTCTCTGTTGCTTTTGTCATGTCACACAGTTTGAAAATCATTTTACAGATGTGTCTGTTAGGACTCTTCACCAAGTATAATTACTGTTTTCCAGTCAAGGATGGGCAGGGCACATAGAATGAATGGGTAAGAAACAGAGTCAATATAATATATTGGTGGGAAAGCCATAGGGAAAGAGACCACTAGGAAGACCAAGACATAGGTGGGCAGACAATATTAAAATGAATCTTAAGAGAGATAGGGTGGGATGGTATGGGTTGGATTGATCTGGATAGGGATCAGTGGAGGGCTCTTGTGAACACAGTAATGAACCTTTGGGTTCCAAAATACGCTGGAAAGTTCTTGAGTAGCTGCACAATTGGCAGCTTCTCAAGAAGGGCTCAGCTCTGTGAGTGAGTCAGTCTGTTATTTAGGACCATGTCGCTTGAAAGTGACTGTACCATTGAAGAGCAGAGTAACTTCAATCACAGCCAACTGTTCAGTGCAGTGTAGGTGTCAATCAGATCTTATCAAAGAGAGAGCTCATCTTCCAAAGTTACTTATAATTCCTGTCAGTCATGTCTGGTTGATTCTCATTGTCACATAAGTGCTGAAATCTTAGTGTATGAAAAATCAGTTCTCTCTTCATGTGGCTATAAAGTCATGTTCAAGAATGGACCAGTAACATTTCAGTCTGTCTATGCCATGGCTTCTGGTAACAAATGGATTTGGTGCTAGTTACTGTTATGTACTCGTATAAGCGCAAGTATTTATAGTCGGTTGTTCAGTTCCCCTTTTTGCCTTCTCTTGTTCCCCCCCATCTTTCTCCAAAGTCTCCTTTGAGCATCCTCCTCATGAACTACACTGTGACACGACAATAACTGCTATAGAAATTAATGTCAAGAACTATGGGAAAAAGTATTTTAATGCAAAGCCAGGAACTCTGTAGCGGAGCTGCTGCTCGAATGATTTGAAATTGTCAGACTGGTACTGCATGATAGAATTTGTTACATCACTTCAAACAGTGACATCTCATAATATCAGCAGTCTGTGTTCATCCCTTTATATTAAAACATTCTAAAGATCATAATGTGAGCGTTAAAAAAACAAAGCATATATGTTGAACAAAGCCATATTTATTCAGGAAAAAAAAACAATTGATTTAGAATGATTAACGGAAGAATTCGGAAGCCACAGCCATATGACACATATCTTCAGACCAGGAAAAGGTTCAATGTTTTTTATAATCTGTGAGACATAAAATATGTATAGCACAACACTTTTCATAAGCTGGCTTATTTGGTAGCAGTTACTAAATTATCACTCAAATTAACGTGAACTGGTTACTTCATGTATTCTTTGAATTTATCAAATGCTTCATCTGCATCGGCGCCAGTCTTGAATCGGAAAAGAACAGGTACAGGCGGTGGCTTGGTGTCAGGCGTTGGCAAGCACACTAACATCACATTATTTGAACCCATACGCTGCACAGGCAGACTGGCCATCAGCAGGGTATTAACCAGTAGGTTTCCCAGACTAGTATTAGCCCGCACAATCAGTTGCGTCTTCTCCCCAACTGGTTTCAGGTACAGCATGCCCACGCCACGCTCTTGGAATGAAGCCTCTTTCTTCACAAACACCTTACATCTGAAAATTATGAAGGGTTTGTGAAAGCTTCAACTCTTACGATTAAAGGCATTTATGTATACTGGAAGTGAAGTCGACATATGCTGAATCTTGACACGAATGTACCTCTTGGAATAAATAGCACCCTCCTCAGTGACAGGTGTGAATTCTACTTTGAACGGTTGCTCATCAGCCTCTTCTTCGTTGCTCTCCTCTGGTTTAATTTCTGGCTTTGACACATTGCTGAATGTGAATGGTTGGGAACTGGAACAAAGTAATGTAAAATTCGTGCACAGTAGACGAGGTTAGGGTGTAAGCAAACCAAACTTAAGGCTTATTCAGGGTAATGGACAGAGACATATGTGAGCAGTTAAATTGTATGGGACTTGATCATACCTGCATAAGTTTCAAGTGTCTTGCAGTCAGGACTATAAATATGAAACAGCTTTGTAACCAAATAATTATCAACACTGACACTCGGAGCATACCTTCCAAAGGTGAACCCAGCCATCGAATTGGAACTGCTGGAAGGTGCAGAACCAAAACTGAAAGTTGTTGTGCTGCTCCCAGAACTTTGGGTAAAGCCTTTTGATTCTTTGCTTTCAGTGGCAGGGCCCTCCACCGACCTTGCTGTGTCACTACAGATGAAAAAGAGTATTAGAAGAGTGTTCGACTGCTGTGGTAAATTCGCAAAATGTAACTGTTAGTAAATATTAATTTGCTGTGCTCCATGGGTCAAGTTTTAACATGAGGGAGAACATAAATATGATAAAGAAAAACAGGTAAGTTCTAACATAAAGACAGCTAACAGATCCCTTTAAAATATGGTAAAGTTAAAAATTTTTGGAACTACAGTTAACAAAATTTGATTTATGAAGAAATTAAAAGCTGATTAAATGTGGGTAATATGTCAGCCACTGAGTTCTGAGCCTTTTGTTTTCTTGCCTGCTACCCAAAAACAAAGATTAAAATATATAAAACTGCAATTTTTCCTGTTGTTTTGTACACGTGCAAAAAGTGGTCTTGCACATTAAGAGAGGAACTTGGACCAAGGCTGTTTCAGAATAGGGTGCTGAGAATATTTTTATTAAAACTAGCGCCACCTTCACCGATGTGATGCCATGTAGTCTGCTACACGTTAATGTTGATTTGCAGGCACCATGCTCTTCTGAAACACTGGTAAACATCAGAATACAGAGTTGTAAAATGTCAGAAGAAAGTGATTTTCAGCCAGCATTGTAAGAATCCATAATATCAGGGAGTTTATTACATCTGTACAGACAGACTAGCAATGAAAGCAACAGATGCTACTGCACACACACACACAAAATATGCTGCAATCAGAAATTAATTTTCAATGAATTTAATTAAATATTTATTACATTAAAATATGTTTCAAAGCAGTGGATCTAATTAAGCACTATGCCATGAAGGCAAATGGGGGGGAGTGGATGTGTAGATCAACATTTGCTTGACACCGGCACTATTTTGAGGCAAGTGGTCAGCTTCACGCTCCGGCCGCTTTACCCCCGGGGAACATCCCCCAGTACCCAATTGATATGAGACTGGGTGAGCCCCAGAACCGGTTTGGACATTGACAGGAGAAAGTTCTTGACCCTACTGGAACTCAAATCCTGACCCCTTGATCATGCAACCTGTAGCCAGTCACTATACCGACTCCTGGACACATCAATGGCAGCATAAATATATACACACCACTTAGTCATGATGCCCTGTGTAGCTGGTGATTTCTCTGGTGACTTCTCTGGTGACTTCACTCTCTTTTGTGTCACATCTGCCTCTTTCCCAAGATTTTGCTTGGACTCCTTCCCATCAATTTCAGTCAAGTAGAGCTCATAGTCTCTAAAAATGGGGGTGAGGATACAGAATGGGTTGCTGTCGACATGTGATTTTATCCACTGCGACACACACTGGTTCAGACTCTTCAGCTTTGAGTAATACTCTGCAGACTTACTGTCAGAAGCGGCATCTGTGGAGCCTGTTTGCACATTTTTACTGACTGAGCTGTTCAATGTATCATTAGGTTTGTTCACTTTTGTTAAGAAGCTGAATGTTGATGCAGGGTTATTGGAAGCTGCTTTGAAGCCCCCAAATGTAGCAAATGGGCTTTTAGCTGCTTCATTCTGCTGCAAGAACAAAACACGGTTTACGATTCAGTTTCCTGTTATAAGGGTTCCTTGTTTTCACTTAATTTTTATAACTTTGGATACAGTGCTTATTCTGGTAATAGAAAATATTGTATGTGGGCTTGTCATATTGTAACTTATTTTTACAGTTTTATACCGTATGTTTGTGACGTGTACACAATTTGTGTATGTAGTCATGTATTATAGGTAGTATTGGTGACATATATGATAAAACTTGTCTTGTTCTATATCTAGAGGCTATATTGGGAAACATGGATTTCTGGAACAAATAAAGAAGATTAAGATTACTAGTTATGGTCAAGTTTGGACTGACAAATCTTGACATAGCTGCCCATGTATCTTGTGTGCAGTCTGTATTGCTAACTGTGGGGAGTTCAAGTCTTTTTATGTGAAGTGTAATCATAATGAGGTCCAGTGGTGGGTTCTTGTGAACATGAACCTTTCATTTCTACAAAAGGCAGGGAATTTTTTTGATCAGCTGGGTAACTATTAGCTTTTCAGGAAGGACTCTGCTCCACGGAGTTAATCAGAAATGTAATTATATATTATGAGCTGTCTGTTACAGTCAAGTAACCCATAAATTCCCTATTAGTTCATTTCACATGCAATGAGATAATTGCAATTTGAGTAGAAAATCACCAATGACAATTTGGGTATTATACGGTGGGCACTTTTTCATTTACAAAACATTGAATTCTCAGTTTGAATGTATTAATAACAGCAAAGTTTGTGCTCACATCTTCTGTACTACCACCAGATCTCCGTTTGGCTGATCTAATTATGCGATGCTTCATAACATCAGGCGTGGCTTTACAGAATGTTCCTGCTTCTTCTGGAGCTTCCTCTTCATTCCAGTTGTCATGGTTTAGTTCAGATGTTGCATTTCGTTTGGCCATTCCAAATTCTGCAAGGTATACAAAGATAGTAGTACTATTAATAATGCCTACACCAATGCTGCTTTTATGGTGCTGGTGCAGGTGAAACGGAAACAAAGCTGTAGCACGGAAAAGCATGCATCCAAGAAACATACTCTTGCTTTAATATACAGGAAAATGTCAAATCATGACCATACAGTAGCCATTCTCGACTTGGTTTACCCCCTGACAAAAGTCTAATTTCTGTCCTATTCCCATTCAGAATTAACCTGAAATTATGATTCTTTCATACAATTGGTATGGCTCCTCCTTTGGGAGATGAGCCCGTCATAAGGCCACTAAAGAAGCAGGTCAATTTAAAAAATCCACGCCTCGAATGGGGTTCTAACCCACGACCTCAGTGTTCGAAGGGGCGAAAACACATCGTACTTAGGCCGCGAGGCCACTGTGATCTTCCTCTTCTTTATTAACTTATACAAATTACTCGCCAAACACAGCACTATAACAAGGAGCGACATGCTTAGGTTAGTGTCAGTAAGGTTAAGGGCGCAGTACTGTTATGTAACATGTTTCACTCAAAATGTAAAGAAGGTACATCATTTCGAAATGACCTGTAATGAATGCGTACGCAGTGTAGTACAATAACGTATAAATAAATAACTCGAATATTAAGAAAATTTGAAGTATGTGACATTAGACATGCTCCTCACTCACCTACTTCCGTTACTTTCGGCCATTTATTCTGACGTACTACCGCCTAAGCACTTAGGTATTGAGTTCCTATAAAATGTAGTTCTTTTATCATACTTACAGATTATTGTATTTTTTAGTAATATGTGTTGACTAGATTGTCTTGTGACTGCAGATATAACCGACACTTACTTTACCTCTAATTAGCTTGAAGACGTCTCACATTGGTGAACGAGGAATACGGTTTAAACGTTTCAAACTGAGAACTATGTTAGCATAAGAACGAATTCTGATTCGATATTTGTTTCTCTTTCCATGCTATTGGCCCCCTTCCGCAGGGCCCTCTCCCGCCCTCAGTGCCAGCGCTAGTGATGATAGCCGCTGCCACCTTCAGAAAGTGCTGAGACTTGCGGCTTAATGTCGTCGGCAGTCAGTGACTTAAATTGTGTGTGTGGTATATAGATGAACATAAATTGTGCGATGGAGGTATCAAAATCGCTTCAGGCAGATATTAGAAACATTCAGAACGAACTTAAAACTGCTATTCAAAGTCATCAGGCAAGTACAAACTTTTCAATATTTTGCGTTACGCTCTAAACACTTTTTCTTAACTCATAAGCACAGGCGCACTGGTGAACAGTCCTTAGGAAGTTACAGCTTTATTGATACTTTGAGAAAATTGAGTACGAAACTTTTTTTTATAATTCGTGTAACAATCATGCAAGATACTGGAGTGCTGTAAGATGTAAGCACGCAGTTAATACGACGGATAGTAGCACAATGTTTAAGATGCTCTGTTTGTAATATTTTATTTTATCGCTTAAAAATTTGGAAAATACGGTGATCACTAAATGTGAACTGTATTTCGATAAGAAACGTTTTATATTATATTCACTGACATAAGTCCGGCAATTCCGAACTTCATTTATGGTCGCACGGGATTCAAAATTAACATTGATAATTGTTACGTGATCACAAGCAGAAAAGCTGTTACGGGAACACTCTTCATCCAAACAAAACAATTCGCCTAGCCGTAACTTCTTGATTGATTCACGACGTCGACGTATAGCTTAGTATATGTCCTTTTTTTTTTCATCACATAACTATTGATTTCGCAGAAGTAACTTTGACGAACACAAACAATTCCAACAAGTATGCCGGCCGTGAAGGTCATTCGTACAGTCAGCTAAGTTGCGAAGAAAGTGTCCGTAGCCAATATCAGTTTGTGAAACTCGCAAACTAGAGTGTTGTGATTCGTATCTAAGTCATCTAATGTTTATGAAGTAAATTAAAATGCAGTTTTAATGTGGCAGATATTCTTTGTCATTTTAAAACAGATTTTGATGTTATTCACGTCCCAGTTTCCGCCTCTCCACTCCCCAGCACGTGTTTCATCCGTGTTAGACATGGCAAAAATAAAATCGCAGCAACCCCAAGAATTAAATGTCATTGCCCTTAATGTAAATTGGCAGAACTTTGCACAAACCAGAAGTTACAGAAGATGACTTAATAGTTTTACTTCATAGCATGAACAATAAAAAATTCGGTAGTACTGGATGTTATTCACGTTTCTTTTGAAGAGTATTACACATGACGAAACATACAAGAAATTGTAAATGTCACGTTACCTTCATGCTAAAAAAAGAAATCTGTGGTAAAACCAACTTTCAGAAAGGGGCAACAGGTGGAGTAAATAACAGTTGTCAAATTTCCTTTGTTCATTCCTTAAGGTACCAAAAATAATGTGTCAGACCTGTTGGTATCGTTTCTAGATAAATGCAAGGTCTTAGCAATTTGCAGTTTGATTGCAGGAAATCTCGATAATGAAATAAGTAGTAACTTTATATTTGCTGTCTTGTGTTGAGCATGGGAGACTTCATAAATGAGAACAGTATGGGATTCATGTTATCTCACATTATCTTATAAACATTGCCAACCAAACAGCATATGCCGAGCAGCGTTGGCTTATTGGTAATCCTCTGGACTTGCATACAGGAGGTGCATGGTACCAGTTTTGGCCATGACACCAACTATCCTGTTTGAAGTTATTTGGGGTTCACTTTGGTCCCTCCAAGAAAATGCTGTGATATTATTGTGATTAGGTCATGAATGATTCTTTTAAAAGCCTTTCAATTCATTATTCATCAGTCATCCTACCATCTGATGTTATGTAGTGTGAGATCCTGACAGTATTGTGAACTGAGCCACAAGAAACACAAATAGTGCACAGCAAGAACAAATGGGCGATAAACATATCACAGATTATGTGTTGTAACAGCCTGACTATCAAGAATCCAGCCCTCTAAGGGCCTGCACATTGCTTTCTGCTTCTCGTCTTATGAGTCACTGATGTTTCAAGGGCTTAGAATTGTGTGTGAAGTTCTAAAAGGGGGGGGGGGGTAGGTCCACATGAGCCAGAAACAGCACAGCACAAGTAGCACAGTGTTTTGAATCAAATTATCTGCACTCTGATGGGAATGAAACAACTTTGCTTATGGTTGTTGAGTACAGTCCTTTACTGGTGTTGTTACAATCATTTTGTCATTTGCTCATGGACAGTGGGATGTGTCGTGCTGTTTTGCATGGATGTTGCTGTATGATGTGCAATGAGATATGACAGTGGTTCTCAAATTGTGGGGTGCGACCCCCAGGGGGACGCGAAGGGCTTGAAAGGGGGGCGCAGCATACTTTCCTACAGATAAAAATTAAAACTGCCCTAAATCAATTAGAAAAGTAACAAAACATAAAAATACATATAGAAAAACTTTTGATGAGTACAGGCTTTAATTATCATAAATTTCAAAATAACTAATAATTATTATAATAGTATGTAGATAAACACAAAATAAACCGAATAAAACGTCAAACATACCATGACTTCTATTTTGATAAAAAAAACAGGCTGGGGCCTGAGAGTATTTTCTCTTGTCAGGGGGGGCTCAGAGGTAAAAAGTTTGAGAACCACTGAGATATGAGGTTCTCAGGATGGTGAATATTGAGATTACGGACTTCTGGGGTGGAATGCTGTATAGTCTGGTAGAATGATACAGTTGTTTTGGGAGGATATGGAAGGAGTGTTTCTCTGCAACATTGGTTCCTAACTGCCAGATGAAATAGTTGCATGCCACATCCTGTAAGACAGTTATCTAAATATGCTGATTCGTTTAATGATGCACATCTGTGAAAAGTGTGATGTGTTGTGTTGCAGCAGGTCCAGTCAGTAATGTTGCACACATTGATTTTGTGTTTAATTAGAAACCCTTCTGTTGCAGGTTGTGGTGCTGAAGTTGAGGGATGACCCATTGGTAAGTGATCCCCACTTATATGTGTATATGTATACACTTAAGTGTATATGTCCGTACTAGCACAGATTAGTTTAACTTAGCACTCACTCTTCTCATTGTCACTGTGCAACTTCCTTGGTGTATTAAAATTCACGCTTCAAAAACATTCGTATCTTCCCGTTATTCAAATACTACATGTTTCAGGACAACTGGCCACCATCAGGTGTATAAATTTTAGAGAAAACTGCTGCCCAGTTGTCACGCTGCTACACTTTGTATTTTAAAGGTGTAAAATACTTTGAGATTATTTTTTTAATGTGTGATTTTTTGTTGTATGTATGTATATTTTGTTGGTATGTGTTGATTTTTCTTTGGTGCTGTGTGTAGCTGTTCAGAATGGTTTTGAAAGGTGAATTTTAATACATCATTGAAGTTGCACAGGAATTGTGAGAAGTGCAATTGCTAATTTAGAATACAGATTGTGCCAGGATGCCACAGTATAATACTCAGAGTAGTTTAATTGAAAAAAACTTTTTGGGTTGTCAGGATAGGGCAGCAGTGTTTAAGGGCTGCCATATCCAGATGAGGACAGTATGCAGAGTATTTGTTTATTTTATACACAAAATGAAATGAAATGAAATGCTATATTGCCTGAGTGCTGATATTGTAATGTAAACATTTCATAGAAAATATACAGTGTGGACTCTTTGACCTTTGGAACAGGTGAGGCTAGGACCAAATAAAATCTGATGCTAGTATTTAGGAGGAGGGGAATTTGTGTTCTCATCATTAAATGTCCATATATATTGTCATGTGTTGAGTGTATGCCACGTGACAAATAACTTCACGCCATATTGGATATAGTGAATTTATTCCACTCGCTCGTACATTTACACAATTTACAATTTCCCAACTACTGCCATCGGCCGTATCCCAAATACATCTGTTTTCCATTCACTCCGGCGAATGCTAGACTGCAACTGGCTTCCGCTGCACTCGGTGGTTTCACGATCCACACTGTGTCACTCCTAATCACACACTCTCTTCACATACTGCTCAGCCGGCTTTTTATACCGTTCCCTGTTGCCTCGTGTTACAGTGGTGTCCTATGTTACGTCACCGCGGAAGGGGGCGGAGTGTTGACTGGCCTGTTACCGTAGCAGCGGCAGCGCTCCGAAGCTGTTACGTCACCGCTGGCTGGGGAGGGGGTGTCCTGCATAGAGCATATACCTCACAATATA